TCAAGCGTTCGTAGTCGCGCGCCCATGGTGAACTTCTTCTAGAGAACCACACGGGATCACATGGACTCTTTCTCCAGCACCCGGGCCTTTGTGACCTTGGGCCTTGGCTGTTTCTTTTCTACACCCCAGTTCTTACTAGTTTTTATGGCCCATTTATCCATTATATTTTTGTTTTATGACTTTTTTTTATTATTGTTTAAATGTCATAAAATATAAAAAAAATTGTTTGAATAATTAATTATTTTAAGCACTTTTATTTAAGATTGTTAATTAATTAATTAATTAATTTTATTAAAAAAATTTATTTAACTTAATTATTTAATTTAGTTCGATTGGGTTGTATTGATTAATTAGTCTTGGACTTTATTATTGTTTGCCTCCATCCCCATTCATAGACTATGTACCCCTTTCCCATGAGATGTAATAGTTAGTAATTATTTTATTGTTTTATTTACTTAATCATTCATCATCACTTACACAAAAAAAACCCTTTAAAAAAACTAATACTTGATTGCGAGCCATTTTCATACCGTAAGTCTATAAAGCTTTTAAGCTTCGCAAACGACCACACATGCACACTTGCACGCTTGATCCTGGGCATTCTTACAGTATAACCTATTCAGTCAATTATTCCAATTGGTCGTTTATAAGGCTGGTCCACTATACTAAACATCACTTAGAAATTATGATTCATATTCATTTGCCTTATCATTTATGCTTGTGTGTTCCACCTTGTACGAGCTTGTATGTTTATTGCTTACTATTATTCTCCATTCAAAAGGTGTACTCCCATCCCCGTGGACTTGTAATAATTTACTTGCTTATTTTACTTTCATGCTTGTATGCCTTATTCACAATTGTTCACTTCACTTAATAAAATCAATCAACCCCCGCATCTCGGTCCATATACCGAATCATAGACAATTTGATAATTTGAGTTTGCTTTGCAATCGCAATCAACCACCCAAGCATCTTGGTCCATATACCAAGTCCTAACCACTTTGATAAGTCAATTTTGTTTACAATCATAATCGACCATTCGATTTCATCTTAAAACACTTTCATAATAAACTTAACACCTTATCCAACGTCAAGTGGTTCTTAAAATGTGAAAATCATTTTCTTAATCAACAAAAGGATTGAATCGAAGAGGTAGGAACCTACCTTCCCTTTTCCTAGATTAAACTTAGACATGTTTCCTTACATGTATTTGTTTAATTACGACCCGACCAAAATACTTTTAAATAAAGAAAGTTCGAACAACTTGTCTCACTCTTTCATAAAGAGGACTACATGAATAAGTTAGGGGCCAACCTAATTTTTTCTAAGTGTGCGAGTGCCAAATACCTACTTTGGTAATTCAAACACCCGTGTCCTATAAAAAACAACTCAACTCATTCAAACTTTTTGCCATTTGGTTTTTCTTTTTTTGAAAATATTTTTATAAAAGAGTGTGTTTTATCCATTTCAATACGAAACAAATACACAAGACTTAGTCTCCCCGAACGAGCAAAACAAGCCGAGGTTCAAACGTTTGAGATGTATAACTCATCATTCTTCTAAAAGCAACCAACAAACTCTTGGTCTTTTTTAGAATAACTATGGAGTTCTGACTTCCCTATTTCACTTAGAGGATACGCAGGCACAAGGTTTTAAAATCGAGGCGAACTCAACAAACTAAAAACAAAAATCCTTCTTCTCTCTTCTTTCTCGATCATTAAGTAGAAGATTGTAAATTATCACACTATCACTCAAACATACACGAATTAAATGGTTCACATCAAGTACGATGTATGTGAAGGGTGCTAATACCTTCCTCTTGCATAACCAACTCCCGTACCCTTCTCTCGGTTGTGATGACCATTTCTTTTGCGGGTTTTATTCCATATTTGCTCGTTCCTTTTGGGATAAATAAAAGTTCGATGGTGGCTTCATTGTTTTATATTTTTCGAGGCACTTCACAAAGCAACAAGGCTTATCAAGAAACATAAAACACTACGAGTGCATCTCGACAAAACTAAAGCTTAAATTGAGAGTTGTCATTCAAAACTCTTATTCAGAGTTAAGTGAATCAAAGATCAAAATAGAGCATATTTTTGGCCAATCAGACCTTTGATTTATGCAAAAGTCAGGTGAGATGTATCTCTGACATGGGCATAATACATACCTACAAGGTACTAAACTCGGCTAAATATATACATGAGGTTATAAGTGAATAGCTATGGGAATACAAAAAGCATTCAAAGAAATAAAAAGGTCCCAGATGAGCATAAACACAATGCACTGGAAAGAAATACAACAAGGTCTCTGAAAAACAAAGCAAGATCTATACATGAGTTTTCCAACTCATGAAATGTCTAAAATCTTCTACGAGTTGGCTATGGTATGTGTTGGATGATCTGAGTTCACACTTGGACTCAGGATAAAAAATATTGGGCTTCTTTTGTTCGAACACTTCACTCCTTTTAGAACTTCGTCCGAGGGGCTTATGTACATCCCAAAATATTTTTATCAAGGCCGAGGTACAAACTCAGACAAAGAATGAAATACAGGCCAATATATGAGATCACCCCCCCGAGACCTGATCCGACTACTCAGTCAGGTCTTGGTCGGGCACGAAGTCGGAATGGACTAAGCAATTAAGGATAAGCCAGGGTGTGACCTAGAACCAACATTGAATAAGCTATCGGGTATGAGCTCGGCATAATAATGTAGGTTTGCAGGAAGCCGGACCAGAGGAGATGAAGAGTTGTGACAAATGATTGATGATGAGACAAACATTACAATCACTTATTGAATACGTTAGAAACCATTAAATAAGTGGTTACGCATGATTAAACGAAGACGTTACAATACTTATGGATGGTTACAAGCGTTACGAAGTTACTTAATGGTCATTAGATCAATGATTACATTATATATTGGGCTCCCGCTAGAGGGATAAACAAGACATATACTCTTGAGTGCATACAAACATCTTCGTGCCGCTCGAATCTCCCAAAATCATCGTATATTACGACTCTCTTTGTCACTACAAAGAAGTTACCCAATTTAGTGTTTTTCACAAGAACAAAATCAATCTGATTACACCTAAAAAAAATATAAATAGCTAATATTATTTGATTCAAAATATCATTCTTACTTTTTCAATAAATAAATTATTGTTATTTTACCAATTATGCCTTTTAATTATTATTTTCGATACTACTTTCAACACTTATATATATATATATATATATATATATATATATATATATATATATATATATATATATATATATATATATATATATATATATATATATATATATATATATATATATATATATATATATATATATATATATATATATATATATATATATATATATATATATATATATATATATATATATATATATATATATATATATAATAATAATAAAATTACAATATCTTATAACACTATTATTATATTCTTTAATTTTAATTTGTGTACAAAAATTTTAAATAACATTTATTTATTTTTTATTTTCACCATCAATGACATTTATTTTTTTATTTATTTTCACCATCGATGAGATTTTAATGATTTTAATTCTTTTTCTATCGTAATTATAAAAATTAACATGTAGTCCTTTCAATCAAATGCGACACCAATCACTGAATTAACCAAATATCGGTAATAACACTCGTTTTAAGGTGCGGGAGTAGTACTTTCTAATGTTCGACGGTAAATGCGACGACTAGGACTATCTCTCTTTGGATGTCGGCATCATTCAGGCCACAGTGACACACACCCCTGACCCCACCCGACTATGCAGAAAAATAGGACGAAAAAGAGATGACTCAGATTGGATAAGAATCAAGTAGGAGCCAGCATCATATTTTGTAATTTTACTTTCTTGTCAATTCTCTACTTTTCTTTTCTAGACTTAATTCATTTAATTACTAATGTTACTCAATTAGTTAATACTGTAATGTACTATTGATTTGATTTAAATTAAATGAACTAATTATGTGAACGACGACAACTAGGATGCGTTTGGGTAAATAATTCAACAGAGTCAAATCACTTTTGTATTTATCCTTCTTCCATTTGAAAAACAGAAAATGAGTTATGAGGAAACCCGGTTTCGTGTCCTAACTTAATTTCCAACGTCCAAAATCAAATCAAACAAATGTGTGGTTCATGGTTTCCTATCCGATACGTTGTACTATCATGTTTGCTTTATTATTATTCCAATTATATCAGTGTTATATCACAACAACCATAAGAATAAGACCAATAATAATAGAAAAAGAAAATACTGTATCCCACTTTATATGAAAATGAATTTAATGAATATACACTTGTATCATTGATTATTAACGGTGAAAAATTATTTTACACTTTGTCCCTTTCCCCTTTTTTTTTCTATGAAAATTATTTCTGTATATATACTCAGCATTTATGTTATTTTGTCTTCACATATAACAGTCTTAAAATACTAATTAACAAACGTTCAATGTACATATGAGAAAATGGTAGTACACGATATTGCATTAAATCTTAATTTAATTAGCTTATAAAAAAGACAAATTATTGGATAAGATTGGATTCCATTTTGATTATTTTTTTTACGGAAAATGTTAGTTTAAATTTTAATGAAAAAAAAGTAATGAAAATATCTTAACTATTGTGTGACTCAAAACTACACGAGTGGGAATAGAATAGCTTCCTCTCAGCTTTTTCCTCAACACTGTGTTGTCGTCGTTGTCATCTTCTTTCTACTACCCCAGTTTTCCCCTTTCATTTTACTTCATAGAATTGAAATTAAAATGACTTATCATTAATTTCACTACTACCATTCACCATCACCAATCATCAATCATCAATCATCAATACCATAAGCACTTCCTATGGTGTGTCAATAATCACTTTTCTAAATAATCTCCATAGTCCAATAAGTTCCACATGGGATTGCGAGCAACCTTTAGAAGGAGAAACATCCAAGGTTGTTACGCTTATTCTCTAATCAATGGAATCAATAAACCAATCCTTAGACAAATTCTACTCTCCCCACGCGCGCCAATCGCTCGACGAATTGTCTGAGCACTTCACAATCACCGACCCTTCCATTTCAGGCCACCCCATAGTCTTCGCCAGCCACGCGTTCCTCAAGATGACTGGCTTCACGCGCGACGAGGTTGTTGGTAGAACCGGTGCCATGTTTCAAGGTCCAGCGACTTGTCGTAGGAAAGTGATGGAAATTCGTGAAGCTGTTAGGGAGGAAAGAGAGGTTCAAGTTGTTTTGGTTAATTACAGGAAAAACGGCACGCCGTTTTGGGTTTTGCTGAATGTTTGTCCTGTTTTTAGTGCCAACCGTGGTGCTGTTGTTCATTTTGTTGCTGTTCAGGTTCCGTTACATGGGAGTTCGAGGGTTTGTAGTTCTGTTGCTCATGAATTTGTGTTCCGTTGTTGTCGGAAGGAAGTTTGTTCTGAATCTTTGGCGGAACTTACTCGGGTTTCTTCGGCTAATCAGGTGTTGGAACATGATGTTTCGGGTTAGTTTGGTTTCTTTTGTTCCTCCCATTCAATTTAATTTTATGCATTGGTTAGGAGATGTTTCGGTTGACTCTAACTTTAGTGAAATTACAATTGCACTATGATTTTGTTTGAACTCCAAAGTGTGTACCTTTTGATAAAATCAAGTGGCACACCAATTCTGCAATTCACTTTGTGCATTGGTGGTGAGTTTGTCAGAAGTCTGGGTGGTTCACTATGATTTCACCGTGACTACACTTTGAAGCTTCAGAAAATCACGTTGTCAAACTCATTGGCAACCCAAAGTCCAAACTTGCACTTATTGTTTTGTCTTTGTTATAATCCAGTTAAGCTCTCAACTACACTTGCAGAGCTACACTTATTAGGTGGTTATTGAGTTCGTATACTATGCATTTTGGTTTCATAAAAGTGAACTCTTATATTCCTTTGGATCAACTTCAGCACAAATTTGTTTGTCTATCATATTGTTTCGTCTGTTAATTAGGTAACACATGATACTTTGTAGGGACATCCGTGTAAAATTTATGTGGCATTAATGATGATCACATATAGTAAATGTACCACCTCGCTATTCTGCTGCACATTGTTGATGGTCTTGCAATCTAAAAAGGAGTAGCTGCACAACTTGTTGTCCGTTTACCTCGTATTTCTGCATAAACTTTATTATATTGAAATGAAAGTTGATTTAGTTAAAAAAAAATTTCTACTACAATAACAACCAAGTCTTACCTCACTATATGGGGTCAGTTACATGGATCAAAGGACGCTATTATATTCTTTTATATAATATATCTCTATCCAACCCATCAATCTCTTGATCTTTCTTAATAGTTTTTCTAACTCTTTCTCTTCTTCTAGTGATTATACTACTCTCCATTTGATCTACTCTTTACTGCATAATTTACTAGGCTTCTTTCTACATGCCCAAACCATCTAAACCGAATTTCCCCATCTTTTCTATGATACGTGATACCCCAACTCTTTCTCTAAAGTTGTCATTTCTAGTCCTATCATGTATAGTCTTCCCACACATCCTATGCAACATTGTCATCCTCGCTATGCTTATTTTATTCTTGTGTTGGTTCTTTACTACTCAATTTATGAAGACAAAAGATAGATTTGTAAAGAAGTTTAAACATTTTGGGAGTTAATTTGTGCACAGGGACACTTCACCAAAGCAAAACTAGTTGTTACTTTGAGGGACTGAATTAAATATTACCTTGGTGGTGATTAATTACAATGTGAATTGATTGGTTAATGGATTAATCGTTTATCTGTCCTCTTGACTGCCTATATCTTTTTAATAGAACATAATAGACTATTAGTTGGTTGATAATCTATGCATGTTTTTAAGCAAAATATGATGTGTAAGATTTTTGCATAAATATTTTTTATTCTTATTCAAATTTCATAAGTTAGTTTCCATAGCAGGTTTTGGTCTATTGTTGAGTGATTGCGCATTTGTCCTAGTGGTTTGGTTCTACTTGATATTTGCTGATATGTTAGCTACTTAACATGCAGAATTGGAGAGTGAAGAAGAGCCACGCGAGGCAAGTGGCGATGAGAGGAGAAGTGCTGCTACGGCGATGGACAACATCTTTTCTGTGCTAACCCACTATAGCGAGTTGACGGGAAAATTGGTGTGTAGAAAGAGATGCAGCATTCCTGACGTGGGTCTTCTTAGCTCTTCCTTGATTATTTCTCTTGGTAGAATCAAACAAAGCTTTGTATTGTGAGTTATTGGAAAAGTCTAGTTTTTTTACTCAAGTACAAGCTTTATGATTTTCGCAGACCCTTAGTTTGTTTATATGCTGCTTTTTGTTTTTGAGTTTCCTCGCAGAACTAATCCACATCTGCCAGACATGCCTATTGTTTATGCCAGTGACACCTTCATGAAATTGACAGGTTCTAAAACTTAACCTTGTAAAAGTTAATAAAAGCCCTGAAGATTTTCTGGTGTTTGACATAAGGATTTAAAATTGATAATTCGGATTTACTTAGTATTATTTTGATTCAAATTACCATGTTGTCTCAATAGGTTATGCGAGAGATGAGGTATTGGGCCACAACTGTAGATTTTTAGGTGGAAGAGATACTGATGCCTCAACTCTACATCTGGTAATAATTTTTTTCTCTTTCTACTCATAGTTGTCCATATTACATTTGTAATTTGGCATCTTAGATTAATGAAAACGGACTACATGGTTGTCTTTCTGTAACTGCTTACAGATAAAGGAGAGCATCAAAACTGAACAACCATGCACAGTACGTATTTTGAATTACAGGTTGATACTTTTATTCATTTTTATCTCTGTGGCCAAAGCTTGAACATTTTTTTACTGGATATGCTGAATCAATTTTATACATCACTAACAGGAAGGATAAAAGCTCATTTTGGAATCTACTTCACATCTCACCTGTTCGGGATGCTTCTGGAAAGGTAACTTTGACGGGCTATTTCTCAGCTGGAGTATAAATCTCAAATTTCTATAATCTGTTTTTAGTCAAGCATCAGTCTATTTTCAGTCAAGCATCAGTCTATTCTAGTTGTCTAAGCATATGCTTTTTTGGTTCTAAATGAAGTTTCTCATATTCCTTGTGCATGTAGTGTTTTCTTGGACTTGGAAAATGATTTACCGGTACAAGGAATGGAGAAGCCAAGCGTCCTATTAATTAGAGGAAATATTTTCTGTTTTCACTTTTAATTGCAAAATCGATATAATGTTTGTTTGCTTGATTGGTTGCTTTCTGTTTTCAACTATTTGTACATAAATGTGTGATTATTTTTTTCGTTGTTTCTTACACAACTACAAAAATAAGAAATAAAACGGAAACAAAGTGACAATTATGTTGTTAAAGTGAAAACAAGAAATGAACATAGAAAATTTGTATTCATATCAAGCGATTAGTTGATGTCTCATGCTTATTGGGGTAGCACATATTGCTATTGTGTTATTTATTTTGGTCCTCGGTTTTTAATTGCGTGATTTTGGTCCTCATTTTTTAATTGCGTGATCTTGGTCCTTATTCTGATATCTTTGTGCAATAAAAGGGATTTTAGTCCCTGAGCATTGTGATCGTGTCTAATTGAGAAGTGGAGGATGCAAATTACATTGCACAATCACGATACTTTATGATACTTGAGGGACTAAAATTGGGGGTAAATCAAGGGGACCTCTCTATAAGACATGCTTTTATATCTGTATGGTGTAGCGATTCAATTTAGTCACTGGACCATTACATGCGTTTTGGGAAGAGAGTTAGAGAACCCTTTGGCGTCATATATGGATTTCATTTGTCCATACGATAGTTCTCCACATTTTCTGAAATTTTCAGTATCAGTGTTGGAAAATTAGAACTCATGTGGCTAGATTCTATTTGTTCAGGTAGCATACTTTGTTGGAGTCCAAATAGAAGACGACTATAAAAATGAGGATTTTAGGCGGTGTTGGAGACCTGACATGAAGCAGCTTAGTGTGGTTGGTGTAGTCAAGGTTGCAGTGCGGAGTTTATCCATGTCTGCTGGGTCGTCAAAGACATAGTCATAGGATAACTCACGGTGGATTCTGTCTTTGGCTGGTTTCATATGCTTACTCCATTGGGAAAAATTATCAATTTCAACTAGTTATCGTTGAGATGATAGAGGGGTGAAAAATTGATTTATGAAAGAAAAAAAGTTCTAGCAAATGAACTTAGACTTGTGTTGACTTCACTTCATCTTTCTATAGTTGAAAGTGACTGTGCAACCGAAAGTTTGTATCTACTGGTTGTTGATAAAATTGACTTGGAGTGAATTTTTAAAACCTCTTTCTATAAAAGATCAATGGTTGATTTTAGATATACTATATTTGACATAAATCATAAATTTATTATATTAACAGTTGATTTCCTTATTAACTGTTAAAATGTATTACTAAGCCATTAAGTTTGATTTATAGGTTAGATATAGTGTATGGGTTCTGAGGTTTAAAACACATTGCCTCTAATTAGAGAGATATGATATATTAACATCAAAATATGACACCTTAAGTAGACACCGTATATGTATACATTCAAATAACCTCAGCTTTTTCTTTTGATTTGAAAAGGAAAGAGAAATATTAATAAATAAAAAATCTGAAACTGTATTTCTATACGGTTGGGTGTAGCTTTAGGTGTCAAAATAACTTAACTGCTAATTAAAATGCCTTACTTTATTACTACATTAATCTTCTTATCACATTCATGTCTCTAGATATATTTATTACTACATTAATCTTCTTAATCTTCTTATCACATTCATGTCTCTAGATATATAATACTTTATTACTACATTAATCTTCTCTGAATAATGTATTATCACATTCATGTCTAGATATATAATACAAAGTTGATTAGATATTATCACATTCATGTCTAGATATATAATATAAAGTTGATTAGATCTATGTAGATAATACAATTTGTTTAGTTTCAATAACTTTATCCTTTAAATGATTAATATATTGTGGGGATTGTATTTTTAATCCAGTGGTGAAGAGTCACGTTTATAGAAATTCGAAAATGTCTTTCAAATCTAAAAATACATTTGGACGTACCATATTTACATCACATATTTTCATAAGCGAGTCGAACTTTCATTTTATTAAAAGAAAATGAAAATATACTTCAAAATTAATCCGAAAGTATATTTCTAGAGGATTTGTTCTTTGATTTTCACATACAAGGCATTTAGAATACCTAGACCGGATTAGTCCGGGAGGATTTGTTCTTAGATTTGTTACATATAAATCATTTATAATTAAGAATGACAATTGTATCTATCTTCAGCAGGTATTCTAAAAAATCACTTATAATAAGTAGGGTAAAAATCTACAAAATATATATGAGCATGAGCACAAATAATTACCTACGAAAATAAGCAAGTATGGACGTGAGTATGGTTATTTTAGTATCCAACTCTCCACACTCGCACAATATATATTTATATATTTTTATTTTTATTATATACACATGTATGTATATTTATCAATTTTATTAAATACATTAATATTAAACTTGTATGCATTTTAATAAAAGTCTTTGTTTATTTCTTAACTCCACCTACTTCTCTTCCTCCATATCCAAATTCGATACTGGCAGATACGATCCAAGGAGTTCTTATAACTCCTTAATTCATAGTCAACACTCAACAATTCCGCATAGGAGAAGGAGAAAGACATAAAGGTAAGCTTTCATCCATCGCCTCCATAACCCGGGGATCTCCAAGGTCAAGCATTTCGTCCAAAGGCATAATAAAAATGAAGATTTTCGAGTTAATAACTATTAGCAAAAAAGAGGGAAATATCTTAGCGGCCAACCTAGAAAGACCTATTATCGAATTTCGAGACTGAGAAGGTGAGAGGAATATCAAACGAGATATTCCCTTTGGTAATAATAGTGACCATAACCAAATTTGGCGTGTCTTGAGTTCTGATTGACAGGGGAAGTTCTTGTGACATCATGTATGACAAACTCTTTGAAAAATTAGGACTAAAGAAAGAAAATTTACTACCTTATGAAGGATCAGATCTACAATCCTTTAATGACACAGTAACACTCCCATGGGGATATGTGGAGCTGATGGTCATCCTGGGATAAGGACAGAACATTAGACTATTGACACTCAGTTCTTGATCATTCATACCGAAGTGTTTATAATTGCATCTTAGTTTGCCCCTTCGCCTCAATATTGGACGAAGTAGCTTCCCCTACCCACTTAAAGATGAAATACAACAATATCCACGATGGACCAGTTACAATAAGCACCAATTTGAAAGAAGCCTAAATGATTTATCAAGCTCTATAACAGGAGAAGAAAGAAGGTGAACCACCACTATGGAAATAAATATGGCCTCATTGGTCGAGCAACTAAAAGAGATAGGAGTCTGACTTCCAACCAAGAAAATTTCATAAGTGGAACTAGCAAGTAAAAGTGGCCGATGAGAAAATGATCCAACTCCATGGGACAAATAAGCGGTGGCGTAAGCTGCATGATTATGTTATCTGTTAATTCCTTTTAATTTATTATCATTAAGCATAGGCATAAACCACTACAAGAAAAATCTTGTTTAGTCAGGGGTTAAACCCCTCACAAAATAGAAATTTGCGAGGGGTCAGGCCCCCTAGCTAAACTGGTCGTCGCAAATGATTTGGGAGGGGGCCTATCACCTCGCTAATTAGCTTGGGACTTATCTTCTCGCAAAATGCAATCCCTAATTTTCCTGCTATAGACACAGTCGTACGCGCAGACTAGGTGATGCGGTGTGGCACAATGTGTCAGTAATTAGCTTGGGGTTAAGTCCCTAGTAAATTAACATGCGTTTTGGAATTTGTGAGGGGTTTAGTCCCTCACAAATTGCTTGATTATTTTTTTTTTGGACAAGTTACCCCTAACTATCATTTACAATATTATAAAAAAAAAATACAATTATATTATTATAAATATAATAATATAATAATAATAATTTGGCATTAATATAATAAATAAATATTTTAAAGTTTTGTAAAAATAAAAATTTAAATAAAATTAGATCATTCATGATTAAAATTGAAATAAAAATAAATAGTCTCCATATCCAACAAAGTTAAACTTAAAAATACAAAGTTTCATATTCAAACATTCTTTAGAGTATTTATGAGATTCCTTGATTAACACCTTGTGAATTAGGGTATTTGTGAGATTCCTCTGGCATCGTCCATGATCTTCACTCTTAGTCATTTTCCATTGTTGTGGACCTTCATTTATAAAGATTGAGTGTTTAGGGAAACTAGTGGTACATTATGGTATCTAATGTTTTTGTGTGAAGTTTGTTGTTTGTAATAGGTGCATGTATCATTCACTACTATATAAAAACACATTTCGTCAAAAAATATTACAACGGCCTTTCATTAACTATGGTGGAATCAAGTTTTGGGCATTTTTTTTTTGTTTTTACTAAAATATATTTCACTGTGGTCATTGTTAAACTCCGTAGTGAAATGTACCAGGAGTTACAACGTTTGAATCTCAACTCCTTCAATTTACAATATTATCATCACAAAAAGGGAATATCCTTGTATATCACCACAATTATTTTATTCAATCGTGGTGTAAAATCCACTCATTGCACCACGGTTCTTCTAGTCAACCGTGATGAAAAGTTATATTTTTTAATATATAAGCGAAACTATTTGTCGCTCAGTATATAAAAGTCATTTATCTCATAAGAAAACTCTAACATATTTCACTATTCTCTCTCAAAACATAACCCTAACATCCATGTCACTCCACTCCTAACACAACCTTCAGATTTGTCTTCACCAATCGCTAACTTGAGGTTCTTTCATTAAACTTATGCTTCAATTCATTTATGTTTCTTGTTAAAAATAGGTTCTCATTTTTTCATTTGGTGAATGTTCCATGTAATGATGTTAATGTCATTGTGTTTATTTTTGACTTATAGGGAAAGTGATTGAAGAGAACCACCTTAGCAAAGCACATACTTTGGATATGATACTTATGGTTTTTGTTGCTATAAAAAAATACAAGAAGTATGAAGCTATTGTGTAAACTTCATCCACCTTATATTTCTTTTTCATAACATCATAAACTAGATAAACTTCATAATTGATTCTAGTGCCACAATTAGTTTCAATAAAAGGTGCGTTCTTGATACATTTTATTATATCTTGTGTTGTTGAATGTTGTTGTATGTTGTTAGTGTTTTATTGCTAAGAGGTATTTTTTTAATGTTTTTTATGTTTTGTTGATTAATACTATTTTCAGAATGTTGTACCCCAAAATTTTCCCTCCCATTTTCACTCAAGACATGCCTCTAAAGGTCCTCAATTGCTCAAGGATGGTCAAGAATTGACCAGACAAATTCTCCTCCTAAGGCAATGAACCTCAACTAGGGTTTCAATTTTAAAGAAGATGTGTGAATCCCAAAGATCCCAAATGTTCTCCATTGTCCTAATATGTCCTCAAGATCATCCATGCCAAATTTTATGCCTTGAACAACAAGTTTGCTCAGTCAATTACTCAAATGCTTGGAAATCAACTGTACTAGGTCAAAAGTCAATTGTGGCCCAAATATAGTCAAACTTCAAGATTTTTGGTCAATATCAACATTTTGAAGTAATATCCATCATTTGATCAAGGTTTGATCATGATTCCTCAAGAAATGCTCCTAACTCATCAAAAGTCAAAAATGGCAAATTAGGATTTTTATAGGAAAAGTCAACCAAACTTTGACCAAGCACAACTTTCTCATACTTTATCAGAAATTTTCCCATCAAGGCTCATTTGAAATAGAATCCAATTCTGTACAACTTCTCTTCAACCCTCAAGTTCAAGTAATGCTCCAATCTAAAGATACAAGCTCATACATTACATGTCCTTTCAATAAGTCAACAAAAACACCTTTTGGATCAAAGCTCCTTACATGAACGTGGAAGATCCAATTGAGATGAAACCAAAAATGTTGTTTATAGGACACCCTAACCTCTCTAAAAAATCTAAGAACACCCTATTAGGGTTAAA